ATTCAGGGACTGCCTTGGGGAGAGGGGAATGCTAAGCAAGAGTTCTGGGTCCCCCTTTCTGATTGATTCAGAAGAGTCTGTTTTTATTTGTTTAACCTATTGGACTTATGCTTAAGATCTGAAATGGTCTTAAACATTCTATGCTTATATATACCTTGAGAATATGGATAAATAGATTAATCTAGTGACCTGTACAGAAATTTTGGCAACCATGAGAATTCTAGTATATGTGAATTGAGTGAATACTGTATTATCCCTATTGGAGGTAATTAGGAAAACATGGAACCAGAGGTTAAGAATAAAAAAGGAAGGATGGTAAATAGTAATAAAGGTTTTCAAAATACAATTTTGGGAGGAATAAAATGGATAAAGGAAGATAAAACTGGGTCTCAGAACTGCAAGTGGGTATATATGTGAGGCAAACTGAGGGATTGAAACAAGAGATGGGGCCCGGGACTCTGGAAGGTGGGGGCCTGGGGAGGTGGAATATAGGATTGGGAATTTAGGAGGTAGAAGTGGACAATCCTGAGTTGTCATGAAATCAGAAAAGCTCTGAAAACTAGGAAGAAATATGTAGTTCAACAGGGGAGGAAGATGTTAAATAATCATAAACATGTAAAATTGTAACTATTATAGCTCCATGTATAAAGGAGAGGTGTATGTTGTATTTTTCTGTGTGGAAGCAGTGGCCAAGCATAGATCTGAGGAGCTGCCTGTCACCTTGCTAGGTGCCAGGGACCCCACAGCCAGTGCCCTCCAATTCCTACCCGACTATTTAGAGTGTCACTCTGAATCAGTGTATCAGGAGGGAGGCATGTAGTCTTAGTGGCTAGCCATGATGTTGGCTCATTAGGAAGGTAATTACCAGTATGGTCTTAGGACCATTTACCTATTTGCTTGTTGGCATGAATCCAGGATCTTTGAACTGGGGGCAAATAATAGTGGAGACAGAGAGACATTTTTTAAGATGGTTTCATGAGTCTGGGTAGGTTTCACCTTAGTCTAATTTTAGCTGCCTTATCACTTGTGAATCTAGGTGAATTGGTGGGGAGATCTTGAAGAGGTTCTAAGATAGAAAATGAAATTAGTCATAAGTACTTACTATGAAAACAAAACTTTGGAATTTTCTGGAATCTGTAAAGGACTAATAGATTCACATTGTTGTATCTATATCACAGTGCTGAACAAATACATACTGAATTAATGAACAGGAAAATATTGCATATGTACAAGAAGCTTTGAGAAACCATAAACTTCTATTTCAGCACATTTATGATGCTATATTTCAAGTAGAATTTTGGAAAACTTTTTTTTTTAAGCATGTGTTTTGTTTCAAATTGTCATGTGGTCACTAATGTAAAGCATTTAACTTCCCTTTTATACAAAAGCTGTGAAGTAACAGGGGGAACTAATAACAAAAACCTGGAACGAATCCAGTCTTCTCCACTTCAATGAATGGTAATTCCATTCCTCCAGATGCTCATCCAATTAGTCAAGAAATCCTTTCAGCTCCTCTTTTGAACTATACCTTGAGTTCAGTTACTTCTATTTTTATTTTTATTTATTTATTTATTTATTTTTTAAATTATTATGTTATGTTAATCAC